TTTTTGCTTTGTTTTGTTTTTTGTTTTTTTGAATGTCCAGAGGACCAGATTGAACTTTTTTGGAGCATACTCCATAGTGGAAAAAAAAAACAGTTTGTTGGTGCTAAGATGGCCTCCGGGGTCCACCCTCTCCCCCATCAACTCCTCTGAGACAGTCATGCCAAAGTGGTTCAAAACACCAAAGTTCATGCGTAATAACCCAGGTAAAAATCTAATAATGTTCAGTCAGATCATCTGGATGGTTCCCTTTTTTTTGCCGACACGTTTCGTCCTTCATCTAAAGAACTTCTTCAAATCCAATTTGTTAGAATTTTACCTGGATTACGGAGTATGAACTTTGGTGTTTTGAACCAATTAGGCATGACTGCCTCAGGAGTTAACGGGAGAGAGGGCGGGCCCTTAAGGCCATTTTGGCACCAGCTAACTGTTTTTATTTTCCACTATGGAATATGCGGTTTGTTGGAATCAGTTTGTTTGGTGTCTCCGCAGATTTGATTTAGTCCTTTGAATCAAGGACGAAATGTCTCAGCAAAAGAAGAAACGATCCAGATGACCTGACTGAATATTGTTGGATTGTTACCTGGATTATTGAGCATGAACTTTGGTGTTGTCTAGATAAAATTGCATTGTTGAAAACAAAGTAATCAATCAGAGGAAGCTGGCTCCTTGGTTCAATTCAATTCAATTCAATTCAGTTTATTTATATAGCGCCAAATCACAACAAAGTTGTCTCAGGGCACTTAACAGAAACATTCACATACATAAAAGCCAATTAGTAAAGTTCTCTATCTAAGGAATCCAGCAGACAAGTTGAATCTTGGCTTCGTTGCAGTCTCTCATCCTGAGCAAGCACAGTGGCAACAGTGGAAAGGAAAAACTCCCTTTTAAAAGGAAGAAACCTTCAGCAGAACCAGGCTCAGGACAAGCGGCCATCTGCTTTGACCGGCTGGTTGAGAGGACAGGAAGGAGAGACAGACAAACACAGAATGGTAGGTCCAGGTATAGGTCCAGGTGTATCTGAAAGACAAAAAAAAAAAAAAAAAAAAAAAAAAAAAAAAAAAAAAAAAAAAAAAACCCACAATTGGTTCAATTCTGAATTACGTACATTAAAACAGGCATCTAGAAAGCTGGAAAGAAAATGGTGCTTCGCTAACATGGAAGTATTTTATTTAACTTGGAGAGATAGCCTGCTAACATATAAGAAAGCTCTCCGTAAAGCTAGAACTTTATATTATTCATATTTAATAGATGAGAATAAAATAGGCCTAGGTTTCTGTTCAGTACTATAGCTAGACCAGTGCTTAATTTGAGCTGGATACTGCTGGAACAAGATCTGGGAACTCTCTTATTTTGACAGGATGTGTTCCGGCAACTCTCGCTTGTCACCTAGAGCATGCATACAACAAAGAGTTTAAACTCAAAGCGAATGTGATAACTGTCTCCAGTCCATTACAGGGACGCAGAAACAAACTAGACAACCATTCACTCTCTCACTCACACCTAGGGCCAATTTAGAGTTACCCATCAGCCTAACATGCATGTTTTGGTCTGTGGGAGGAAATCAAGAGTACCCAGAGAAAACCCATGCAACATGGCGAGAACATGCAAACTCCACCAAGAAAGGCCCCGGGCCAGGATTTGAAATGTTGACCATCTCACTGAGAGGCAACAGCTCTACCAATTGAGACACCGAGCCGCCCGAGCCGCCCGTGGAAAACATGAAAATAAGAAACATTGAACATTTTTGAAATGCATTTGTCATGAAATTCAAAATTACCTTTTTTTTTTTTACTAAAAACTGTAGTTTTTCATTTGTTTACTACAGCCCAGTTACGAATGGGTTTAAGAGATTTGCAAAGCATTGCATTCTATTTTTATTTATATTTTACACAAAATTCCAACATTTTAGGATTTGGGGTTGTAACTAATTTTTTAACAGACAAGTAGGCAGATGTAGGGACTTACCTTCCAGTAACTCAACTTCCTTCCTGTTGCAAAAGAGACCAATTTCTGTTAAAACCCAAACATTATAAGAAAAAGTAATTTTATTTATTTGGACATTTATTTTATGTTTCTTCATAACTATAAGCAAACAGTAATTAAAAAAATATATATATGTTAAACAGTTTTTTCTCTTTAATTAAACTCAGTCGTGATTTACCCCAAAAGCTCTGTCTCTCAAAACTCCACTAAGTTTATCCACCCAACATTTATCACTCATCGGCCTCTGATACCATTTTTTTCCTTCTTTCCTCCCTTTCCTACTCGCTAAACTTAACGCAGAAAAATTTAACTGTCACTGCTGGACAATAATTGTAAAAAAGGACAACTTAAACCAAGTACCAAGAATCAGCCAAAAATATGTGTGAAAACTAAAAAAAGACTAAATGAAAATTAAACAAATAAATGACTCATGTGACATTATTTAAATGTCATACCTTTTCTTTTTCTTGTAGGCATCAAGTTCATTCATATGATGTGTTTGAACAGTATGTTGTTCGCACTGACAGCATAGAGTCTCCAGGTAGTCTAGTTTGCCCTCCATCTCCTCAAAGTCACCCTCCAAATGAGCTACATAAAAAAGGTGAAATATATGGTTATGCAAAAGGACAGAGGTTAAATATTAACAAAATGCAGCATTCTTTAATATACAGGTCCTTCTAAAAAAATTAGCATATTGTGATAAAGGTCATTATTTTCCATAATGTAATGATAAAAATGAAACTTTCATATATTTCAGATTCATTGCACACCAACTGAAATATTTCAGGTCTTTAATTGTTTTAATACTGATGATTATGGCATACAGCTCATGAAAACCCAAAATGCCTGTCCCAAAAAATTAGCATATTTCATCCCACCAATGAAAGCCAAGTGTTTTTAATACAAAAAACACCAACCTTCAAATAATCATGTTCAGTTATGCACTCAATACTTGGTCAGGAATCCTTTTGCATGAATGACTGCTTCAATGTGGCGTGGCATGGAGGCAATCAGCCTGTGGCACTGCTGAGGTGTTATGGAGGCCCAGGATGCTTCGATAGCGGCCTTAAGCTCATCCAGAGTGTTGGTCTTGCATCTCTCAACTTTCTCTTCACAATATCCCACAGGTTCTCTATGGGGTTCAGGTCAGGAGAGTTGGCAGGCCAATTGAGCACAGTAATACCATGGTCAGTAAACCATTTACCAGTGGTTTTGGCACTGTGAGCAGGTGCCAGGTCGTGCTGAAAAATGAAATCTTCATCTCCATAAAGCTTTTCAGCAGATGGAAGCATGAAGTGCTCCAAAATCTCCTGATAGCTAGCTGCATTGACCCTGCCCTTGAAAAAACACAGTGGACCAACACCAGCAGCTGACATGGCACCCCAGACCATCACTGACTGTGGGTGCTTCACACTGGACTTCTGGCATTTTGGCATTTCCTTCTCCCCAGTCTTCCTCCAGACTCTGGCACCTTGATTTCTGAATGACATGCAAAATTTGCTTTCATCCGAAAAAAGTACTTTGGACCACTGAGCAACAGTCCAGTGCTGCTTCTCTGTAGCCCATGTCAGGCGCTTCTGCCGCTGTTTCTGGTTCAAAAGTGGCTTGACCTGGGGAATGCGGCACCTGTAGCCCATTTCCTGCACACGCCTGTGCACGGTGGCTCTGGATGTTTCTACTCCAGACTCAGTCCACTGATTCCGCAGGTCCCCCAAGTTCTGGAATCGGCCCTTCTCCACAATCCTCCTCAAGGTCCGGTTACCTCTTCTCGTTGTGCAGCGTTTTCTGCCACACTTTTCCCTTCCCACAGACTTCCCACTGAGGTGCCTTGATACAGCACTCTGGGAACAGCCTATTGTTCAGCAATTTCTTTCTGTGTCTTACCCTCTTGCTTGAGGGTGTCAATGATGGCCTTCTGGACAGCAGTCAGGTCGGCAGTCTTACCCATGATTGTGGTTTTGAGTAATGAACAAGGCTGGGAGTTTTTAAAAGCCTCAGGAACCTTTTGCAGGTGTTTAGAGTTACGGCGTTGATTCAGATGGTTAGCTTAATAGCTTGTTTAGAGAACCTTTTCATGATATGCTCATTTTGTGGGACAGGCATTTTGGGTTTTCATGAGCTGTATGCCATAATCATCAGTATTAAAACAATTAAAGACCTGAAATATTTCAGTTGGTGTGCAATGAATCTGAAATATATGAAAGTTTCATTTTTATCATTACATTATGGAAAATAATTACCTTTATCCCAATATGGTAATTTTTTGAGAAGGACCTGTATGTATATTTTTCTTGAAAAAGAGATGTTTTGCAAGCTGAGAAAAATATAGTAAGAGCCCTTGATTGGCTAGCCATTAGCCTAAAAACAGGAAAAATATAGTAATCTTGAAAGTGTAATGGAGATAGTGTTAAAAAAGGAAGTAACAATGAAAAAAAATTGCAGGAACCGCACACAAAACAGCTGCCATTCAATAATTTTATTAGTAACATTTCATATCACTGCCCTCTCTCAGACTAACAAACCTTGAATACAGAGCTGTTGTACAGTCCCCTCCAAAAGTATTGGAACAGCAAGCCAAATTCCTTTGTTTTTGTTGGCTTCTGGTTCTGGCTTGCTTGGGAGAGATCACTTTAAATATGCTCTGCTCTGCTCTACTTGGAGAGAATCTATCAACTTTAAACACTTTATATGATTTGCACTTACTATAAACTGTTTTTTGCTGCTCTTTAAACTGTTTGTTAGTATCGTATACTGTTTGTTGGTTTCACGCTTTATTTTTGGTGTTTTATTAGAGCTACGTGACCCGATGGTGCTGTGCTAACCGCTAACTCACATAAAGTCTAAGATCATCAATCAGGCAAGTCACCCTTGTTTTAAAATGTTTTTGTTTCTTGACTTGGTTGTAGTGCTTCCTTGCTGGTTCTTGTTTTGTGCTTTACAGTAGTCCCTCGTTTATTGCGGATGTTTTGGGACCATGCCCAACCGTGATAAGTGAAAAACTGCGAAGTAGGAATAAAGTAGTTCAAGTTCAAGTTCAGTAAACTTTGTCATGACATGTTCCAAGCTGTAATCACATTCACTTATCACCTGTTACTCCCAATCTCCCTCCTTAAATAAAAAAAATAATAATTTAAATACTGTAACATTTCATTGTTGCTGCTGATCTGTTTCATGTTGCTGCTGATCTGTTTCAATGTTGATGTGTTCATGCGTGCACATCTGCTCACAGACTCATGTTCATGTTTGTGCTGATGTTCATTGTTTTATGTTATGAGTGCTTAGTGTATATTTAGTTGATGTTTTTCTTAGTTCATATCTTAGATGTTATTACTGTTTTTCTTATACATTTTATTGTTGGATGTAACTGGAACCCTGTGTACATAATTTCGCTCCACCACATGTACCACATGAGGTGCGAATGACAATAAAGAAACTCTGACTCTGATTTTAAATAAACAATCCATACAGCATGGATTGTTTATTTAAAATGTTACAGTATTTAAGTTATAAAGAAGTGCAGGGACGTCACACATCTTCAAAATGGTTGCTATGGCGGTGCACACAAAGTGTAGCGGCTTCTCATGCTCCCGGGTTTAAGCCTTATTTTAATTCCTATGAGGCTGTTTTAGGCGCTGGTTCAGTGCTGGATTCACAGCTCAGGTACACCTCAACCGAGCTGATAGCCATAAGAGACAGTTCGGTTGAGTTCTGACATCCGCACTCGGCAGTCAGCGGCTCCTGAGGACAGCGGAATGGCGCAGCAGTATGGCGCAGTGAGGACGAGGAGCAACGATCAGGGGAGGAGAGGGAAGCAGGTGGCGCGTTGGCCCAGGCTATTAAAACCACTGATTCCTACTCTTTCTGGCCAGTGTACACTCACTGGACAACAAAGTAGACTTGTTACACCTGAGGATGAATGTTTCTACAGATATGAAGAAATGAGCTGTTCTTAGCCTAACGGAAACCTGGCTTAACCACAACATGTCTGACTCGGCCTTCCAGATCAACGGTCTTCAGTTATTCTGCGTGGATCGTGACCATCGATCGGGATAAACATGGGGGAGGACTCTGTGTGTTTGTGAAAGAAGGAAGCTGCAGAGAGCTGGACTTGGGAGCTGGGAGGGCTCTGTCCTGAGGAGCCATCGCTGTGTGGTAGAGAGCGTCTGCATCACCTTGTGGCATGGCAGAAGGAGGCTGCGAGTGGGGACTGGAGCAGCCTCCATCCCCTCAAGCAGGCGGCTGAGGGCATTCAGAGCAGCTGCCAGCTCTGAACTCGCGATGCACTTAATTCAGCCTCATCTTACTTTTTTTTTTTTTACTTTATTTACGCACGCATGAGTGTGTGTGTATGTGTATATATTTATACTCTTATATTTATTTATTTGTTAATTGTTAGGCTTCTTGATCAGGGACCTGAGTCCGAATTTCGTACTGTTAACATGTAAATGTGAGCTGGTATGACAATAAAAATTCTTGAATCCTGAATACTTCAGATCTGCAGCCCGGAGCAGAAATTTTCTTTTTGATCAATTACACTTCAACAACTGAACATAAAAGTTATACAATAATTAAAAATACCTTTTAACACATATTTTGTGATTATGATGACTTTTACGATGTGACATAATAATAATAATAATACTTTATTTATAAAGCCCTTTAAAACAACCACAGCTGTCACAAAGTGCTGTGCATATAAAATCAAGACATTTAAACACATAAAACTACATTAAAGATGAGCTGGCAATTCAGAAAGTTTTGTTTGTTACAGACCTGGCGTTCACCAGGCCAGTCTTTGAATTTTAAGTTGGAAGACAAAAGTCGATTGGTGCACTTGGACAGCAAAGGGCCCTTCACAAAGCCGCAGCAGGAGAAATGTGGGTGCGTGGCAGAGAAGGAAATCAGCTGATCAGCTGCAGGAGGGAGATTTCCCTTTCACTTGTGGACTTCACACATGGTGCAAAATTGTTTAAAATAATTTATTTTAAATAAACAACCCATGGCTCATCCATCAATCTATCATGTTTTTGCCCCTTTTTTTAACTGCCTCAGCCTGTCATGTTTTGTTTTCTCCTGCCAAGTGTTTTCTGCCCGGTCACTCATTCAGCTTATGTACCTGCACCACGCCTCCTCTCCCTGCCTCTGCAATCAGCTTCATTCATCGCACCTGTTCACCTCCCTACTTAAGCTCCCTGTTCAGCCTCATTCAGTGCCAGATTCTCTAACCTGTACCAGTAGTAGAAATACAGCATTCCTTGTTTTTTGACTCTTGCCTTGACCACCGAACCTCTGCATGTTTTTTGACTCCTCACCTTGCCTTGACCCGTTAGGATTTATCTGCACTTCTGATCATGGTAACGACCCTGACTGCTTTTTAACTTTCCCTTTGGATTACGTTTTTTGGCTCTGGCTTCTCCTCTTTGCTCACCTGTCGTCAAACCTTGCTATGTTTACTGGACCATATAGCTATAGCTCTAGTCAAACCATCAAGACAGAAGATCGGACCGGCCCCAGGATCCAGATCTTGACCAGAAGCAATGTGTGTTTAATAAACATACTTAAACCATTCCTGTGTACTGGTGTTGTTG